ACACACACACACACACGCAGACAGTGTCCCGACAATATGCGTTTTTGCCGGCTGTAGCAGCGTTATAGCGCTGCTATAGCGCTGCACAACAAAAACGCATAAAAATTTCATGTTCAGGGTCGCACACTGACATAAAACATTATACTGAAATTTCAACTTTCCAGCGTGTTCAATTTCCGAGGCAGAAGACGTCCTACCAAAAATATCACGTGTCCGTGCGCGCGTTCATGACTGTGAAATATAAACCCTGAAATTTTAGCTTCCTAGCTTTTTTGATTCCCGAGTTGGTAAATATCGCTCCAAAACTTTTACGCATCTGCATGAGACCCAGGCGTATGTGGAAGCTGAATTTGAAACGAAGTTGATTGAAAATATCAAAGAAAAGTTTCGTCGATTCCTTTTTCTTCATCAACTGAAGGAAAAGGATATGTCTGCGCCCAAAAAAAACAGGAAAACGACTATTTCATAATGTTGCATCTTTTCTAGAAAAACGTTAAAATTAACTTCGCGAATGCTTTTTCCAGTAGGGCGCTCCAGAACTCATTCGGTGACTTAGATCGAGCAAACAGCAATTTGCCATCTCGTGTCGGCAACAGATCGTCGATGACAACTTCAATCCAGCTGTCGAAACGCCAGAAGCAAAATCGAAATATACCGCAATACTGATTGCTGCTTTCCCATTCCTGCTCCTTCGCGTCCGGCACCACCTAAACTTACTTGCTTCATTAATGTTCACTGTTTTATTATCAACAGCGCAAAAATAACTTGTGCCACCAAGTCTCGCATCTATGTTGCGCTGCCACAGCGCCAAATAATGAGCGATCACCTCTCCATTCTGAATCGCAGCAGACAAAATCTTGGGATAACAAAATGCAGATGTGAAAATTTGCTAAATTTAGTCCGTGAATCCGTTACTCCCTTCAGAAATATGTAAAATCTTGCCAGGCCAGACTTACACAGGATCCACGTATTCACGTAAATTTATAAGGTGCGTGTTCTTCAAAGATCATAAATGACAACCTTGTTGAGTAGCGCTTGATTGTGTGTCAACGCAGAACACGCCGAAACGAACCAACAGTTGCCAAGTATTCCCTGCGTAACATCGTTGGCTGTCGCACCTTCCACAAACAGCTGGGGATTATCCGCGATTTCCTGCAAATCAGACCATCTCCGTAACTGAATATTTCAATCCAGGCCGGAATGCACCAGTTTTACCGGTACGATCGTTTTTTTATACCGGATTTAAAGTACTGCATGGATCGTTATTGCTTTTCACCTATTTTTTGCCCTCACTAGGGTAAATCAGTGTAAATTTTGCACGAATGAAATGAACAATATAGGTTTAACAGTCGTTCTTTGAAAATTACCTGGCTGTTCGATGAGCAATTTCACCGCCAAAACTTTTCAAGTGCCCGCATGTGAGAATTTG